ATCATATATTTAGGTCTTAATTATTTGCAACATTACATATAGTAGATACAATATCAATATACTATCCATGAGTCAGATTTCCTTACATGTGACATAACAAGAAAGTTTTCATCATATATCCTGTGCATAATTATTTACAACATATCATAGTTACAATATCAATATACTATCCATGAGTCAAATTTTTCTTACATGTGACATAACAAGAAAGTTTTCATCATATAGCCTGTTCATAATTATTTACAACATATTGTAGATACAACATCAATATACTATCCATGAGTCAGATTTTCTTACGTTACATAACAGGAACAAATACAGAATGTCTGCAAATATTTTGTTCTATTTTTGTATGATTGTTCATGTCCTACACATATTAACAACACATCACAAAATACATCTGATCTTTGTTTTAACACAGTCTAGAATAAAAACACAAAAAGGTTGAAACAAAGGTATGTCCACCTGCTTATTCAACATAATGATTTACAGTTATATTCCAACATGACGTAATAAGATGCTGTTTAGCATTCAGATTTAAAAGGGTCTTTTTCACAACCTACTATGATCCATATTGCCTTCCATCTTTTTCTTTGCACTAAATAAGTAAACAAAATATTCACTGTTTTGTTACTATATTTAGCGCAAAATGTGTTTAGTATTCAAATATTAAAGAGTTGTATTTTAGTTACCTTCAACCTACTAACATCCATATGACATGTCTTCAATCGTTCTTTACACAAAATAAGTAAACAAAATATTCACTGTTTTGTTACTACATTTTGCACAAAAACTGGTTTCAACAGTCCATGGTTATAAAGTGATTTATTCATAACAAGAACTGCGGCCTTAACACACGAGTCCATATGAGATTTGGCTTTGAACATTCTATTTGAAAATATTTGAAAAAACTCTCCCAACATCTATTTCATCATATCTCCAGGTCATTATTATTTACAACATAACATACAGTAGATACAATATCAATATACTATCCATGAGTCAGATTTTCTTACATGTGACATAACAAGAAAGTTTTCATCATATAGCCTGTTCATAATTATTTACAACATATTGTAGATACAACATCAATATACTATCCATGAGTCAGATTTTCTTACATGTTACATTACAAGAACAAATACAAAATGTCTGCAAAATATTTTGTTCTATTTTTGTATGATTGTTCATGTCCTACACATATTAACAACACATCACAAAAATACATCTGATCTCTTTGTTTTAACACAATCTAAAATAAATACAAAGGTTAAAACAAAGGTATGTCCACCTGCTTATTCAACATAATGATTTACAGTTAGTTTCCAACATGACGTAACAAGATGCTGTTTAGCATTCAGATTTAAAAAGTGTCTTTCTACAACCTGCTAACATCCATATTATCTTCCATCTTTCTTTGCACAAAATATGTAAACAAAATATTCACTGTTTTGTTACTATATTCAACACAAAATGTTTAGTATTCAAATATTAAAGAGTTCTATTTACAGTTACCTTCAACCTACTAACATCCATATTGTCTTCCATCTTTTTCTTTGCACAAAATAAGTAAACAAAATATTCACTGTTTTGTTACTATATTTAGCACAAAATGTATTCAACAGTCCATGGTTATGAAGTGATTTATTCATAACAAGAACTGCTGGCCTTAACACACGAGTCCATATAAGATTTGGCTTTCAACATTCTATTTGAAAATATTTACAAACTTTCCCAACATCTATTTCATCATATCTCCAGGTCATTATTATTTACAACATAACATACAGTAGATACAATATCAATATACTATCCATGAGACAGATTTTTCTTACATGTGACATAACAAGAAATTTTTCATCATATATCCTGTTCATAATTATTTACAACATATTGTAGATACAACATCAATATACTATCCATGAGTCAGATTTTCTTACACGTGACACAACAAGAAAGTTTTCAACATATAGCGTGTTCATAATTATTTACAACTTATCATAGATACAATATCAATATACTATCTATGAGTCAGATTTTCTTACATGTTACATGACAAGAACAAATACAAAATGTCTGCAAATATTTCTATTTTGGTTCTAGTCCTACACATATTAACAACACATCACAAAATACATCTGATCTTTGTTTTAACAGTCTAGAATAAAACACAAAGGTTGAAACAAAGGTATGTCCACCTGCTTATTCAACATAATGATTTACAGTTATTTTCCAACATGACGTAATAAGATGCTGTTTAGCATTCAGATTTAAAAGTGTCTTTTTACAACCTACTAACATCCATTGTCTTCCATCTTTCTTTGCACAAAATATGTAAACAAAATATTCACTGTTTTGTTACTATATTTAGCACAAAATGTATTCAACAGTCCATGGTTATGAAGTGATTTATTCATAACAAGAACTGCGGCCTTAACACACGAGTCCATATAAGATTTGGCTTTGAACATTCTATTTGAAAATATTTGAAAAAACTCTCCTAACATCTATTTCATCATATCTCCAGGTCATTATTATTTTTACAACATAACATACAGTAGATACAATATCAATATACTATCCATGAGTCAGATTTTCTTACACGTGACATAACAAGAAAGTTTTCAACATATCGCCTGTTCATAATTATTTACAACTTATCATAGATACAATATCAATTTACTTTCCATGAGTCAGGATTTTCTTACATGTTACATGACAAGAACAAATACAAAATGTCTGCAAATATTTCTGTTCTAGTCCTACACATATTAACAACACATCACAAAATACATCTGGTCTTTGTTTTAACAGTCTAGAATAAAACACAAAGGTTGAAACAAAGGTATGTCCACCTGCTTATTCAACATAATGATTTACAGTTATTTTTGAACATGACATAATAAGATGCTGTTTAGCATTCAGATTTAAAAGTGTCATTTTCACAACCAACTATGATCCATATTGTCTTCCATCTTTTTTTGCACAAAATAAGTAAACAAAATAAAATATTCACTGTTTTGTTACTATATTTAGTACAAAATGTATTCAACATTCCATGGTTATGAAGTGATTCATCCTTAACAGGACCCTGCGGCCTTATAACACACAAGTCGATATAAGACTACAAACAAACTCCCAACATCTATTTCATCATATCTCCAGGTCATTATTATTTACAACATACAACATACAGTAGGTACAATATCAATATACTATCCATGAGTCAGCTTTTTTCTTACATGTCACATAACAAGAAAGTTTTCATCATATAGACTGTTCATAATTATTTACAACATATCATAGTTACAATATCAATATACTATCCATGAGTCACAATTTTTTCTTACATGTGACATAACAAGAAAGTTTTCATCAGATAACCTGTTCATAATTATTTACAACATATTGTAGATACAACATCAATATACTATCCATGAGTCAGATTTTCTTACGTTACATAACAAGAACAAATACAAAATGTCTGCAAATATTTTGTTCTATTTTTGTATGATTGTTCATGTCCTACACATATTAACAACACATCACAAAATACATCTGATCTTTGTTTTAACACAGTCTAGAATAAAACACAAAGGTTAAAACAAAGGTATGTCCACCTGCTTATTCAACATAATGATTTACAGTTAGTTTCCAACATGACCTAATAAGATGCTGTTTAGCATTCAGATATAAAAGTGTCTTTTTTACAACCTACTATGATCCATATTATCTTCCATCTTTCTTTGCACAAAATAAGTAAACAAAATATTCAGTTTTGTTACTATATTTAGCACAAAATGTTTAGTATTCAAATATTAAAGAGTTTTATTTAGTTACTTTCAACCTACTAACATCCTTATTGTCTTCAATCTTTCTTTGCACAAAATATGTAAACAAAATATTCACTGTTTTGTTACTATATTTAGCACAAAACAGTTTCAACAGTCCATGGTTATAAAGTGATTTATTCATAACAAGAACTGCGGCCTGTAAATAATAATGAATCCATATAAGATTTGGCTTTCAACATTCTATTTGAAAATATTAACAAAATCTCCCAACATCTATTTCATCATATCTCCAGGTCATTATTATTTACAACATAACATACAGTAGATACAATATCAATATGCTATCCATTAGTCAGATTTTCGTACATGTGGCATAACAAGAAAGTTTTCATCATATATCCTGTTCATAATTATTTACAACATATCATAGATACAATATCAATATACTATCCATGAGTCAGATTTTCTTACATGTGACATAACAAGAAAGTTTTCATCATATATCCTGTTCATAATTATTTACAACATATTGTAGATACAACATCAATACACTATCCATGAGTCAGATTTTCTTACATGTTGACACAACAAGAACAAATACAAAATGTCTGCAAATATTTTGTTCTATTCTTGTAATGGATTGTTCATGTCCTACACATATTAACTAAACACATCACAAAAATACATCTGATCTTTGTTTTAAACACTGTTTAGTCACTACATTTAACACAAAATGTATTCAACAGTCCATGGTTATGACAGGGATTGGGAAAGGCAAGGGCCATTGGCCATTTTGCACATTAGAATAAAAATGGCCTATTAAAATTTTGAAATTTACTATTGATAGAAGGGCAGTGGGCCATTCTAAATTCAGAAAATAGCTAATAAACCTGAAATGACCCATTGTCAAAGTTCTCTATCCCAATCACTGTTATGAAATGATTTATTCATAACAAGAGATGCATTCTTAACACACTTAGTGGTCCATAAAAGGTTTTGTTTTGAACATTATATTTGAAAACATTTACAAACTCTCCCTACATCTATTTCATCATATCTCCAGGTCATAATTATTTACAACATAACATACAGTAGATACAAAATCAATATACTATCCATGAAACAGGTTTTCTTACATGTCACATAACAAGAAAGATTTTATCATATATCCAGTTCATAATTATTTACAACATATTGTAGATACAGGTCATAATTATTTACAACATAACATACAGTAGATACAAAATCAATATACTATCCATGATTCAAATTTTTCTTGCATCTTCATTTACACAAATGAAAGAAATAATATCTTCATCGTTTTGGTACTCTATTTATCACATACTTCATAAACTAAAATTATTTACAAATTGGCTTCAATGGTTAAGAAATGATTTAATCATAACAAGAGTTGGGTTCTGAACACACTGGTCTATAAAGATTTGGTTTTGAACATTATATTAGATAATATTCATAAATATTCTTCAAGTGGTTTATAAGAGGTCTCTGTCATAAGTGCCACAAAAACAATTGTGCCAGCTGCTGCTGCAGTGTAGCACAATGATTAGAACCAAAAAGCCTTAGCGTTTCCATTTCTTTGGTTTGAGAACCTTTGTCTGCTTCTGCTTGTGCTGAACATCACCATATTTTGCCTTTTGTTCCTGTTTCTGAAATATGACATAAGGACTTGGCTTTTGATTAGAATCATATTAATTAAAATTTACTGTATTTATTAGGCACATGTATCAAACAATACTTATCAGTTTTTAATAATCCTGTGAATGCTACATCTATTACATCATTGTCATAAATCCTGTATTTGTGGTTGCTGTCATCCGAAAAGCATGAAAGACTTTCAACAGAAGTCTTTACTGTCAGCTATACAAAAATAGTTTTCCTGCTCTTTTTGTGCCCAAAGTGAGGATACCCCACTTCTTTCTAACATCTCGTTTCTAGGGACAGATGATTGGGAGGTGAGAGTGAGTACTTGTGATGTAATTCTTACAATTATACACAACAATAATTATTGTTTGATATTTCTAACTTCAAAACTGATCCTCTATCACATCTAGTTCTCTACCTCTCTAGTGCACACCCTGTGTCATATTTTGATATTCAAAATTATATGTCTTCTATTCTCAAAGGCCATCATTTAAATAATAATAATAATAATAATGTTAAAATTTGTATAGCACCTGAATCCAAGGTTTGCTCTGAGGTGCTTGGTCAAATGCTCTGTTGAAGAGAACTGTTTTTCGTTCTTTTTGAATGGAATGATGTCTGACAAGTTTTTCAAATTTTCAGGTGTTTGGTTTTCAAATAACTTTTCAGGTGGTTGGTTCCATAACAGAGGAACTGCACCTTGACAACAATTCTTTGTCTTATTGGCAGCCAATGCAGTGTACATAATGTTTGCCTGCACCAGTGATGAGTCTTGCTGCTGCATTTTTGGACTCTGGTGAGTTCGTTGATACACTACTGCGATATGCCATTTAATTGACATATGTCCTACATTTAACGTTAATTCCTCTATGACTACCTAGTATACATCACATTTAGATCTTTTGTGTCACTAGTGTATATGTCACATATCTACATTGTATATGCACATCACTAGTCTAATTTATTACATCATATCTATGATGTCACTTCTGGTCTCTTTTCTCTTCTGATTGTGACACCAGTTATAGTTGAGCAGTCTCTCAAGTTAATAAAGAACGGTGCACTCACAAGCTGCTGAACAAGTCTTTTGTCCAAACTCAACTCACAGTACCTGTGACAGATTGCAGTTGCTAGCATTGTAACCATTTGAACTTGGAGTATGTCCAAATTTGCATTGATAGCCCCTCCCTGTCTCAACTTCTCAATCTGCATGAACAATACTGGTACTTGATGATTCCATGTAAATTAATCTCTCCAATAATGCCATGAGTAATTCTAGTGATTGATACTGAGATGTGGGAATAGATAAGAACGACTTAAGCTGTGGTGTGACTGGTGATGACTCATGAAGTGCTGTAATTGTCTATTTACTTCCAAACTGCTTCCTTTCTTCAATCTTTGGTAAAGGCCTAGAAAAGTTAAGTTGTAAAGCTTTCTTTGTCATAGGGCAGATAATTCACAGTGACTCTCATTTACCTAAAAGAAACCTCTCTGCCCTTCCAGAACAACATATGTGGACCCAAAGCTATCCAAAAATGATGACACTATTCTTAAAAACACCAATTGATCACTACAGTCACATGAACATGCCCCAAGAACATAATAACTATTACAACTTATAAGAAGACTAGACTAGTATTAGTTTAAGTTTAGTGATAGCAGTTACAAACACAGGATTTATGGCAACAGTATAATAGAGGTGGAGCTGAGTACGAAATTACAAAGAATATGTCCCAAATTTACATAAATCATATAGAACATTATATGCAACATGTGCAATTGAATAAAAGCTCAGTAACAGAACTTACCTTTATTTCCTTTCTGTAGTACATAATGACATGGAAAATATGTTCAGCGCATATGCTTGGTGGTAATAGGCCAACTTCCTTCTCCTCGTCAGTGTCATCTGCATATACTCTCTCGATTATACCTTTAGGCCACAAAGAAGAGTTTTTAAGCTGATCGGAAAGCTGTTGCTCCGGATCTGCATCTGTTGACTGCAAATATCTGTATGCATATTTTGAAAGTGCTGTCACCAAAGATTGAAGGAAATCAAGATCACCGAAGATCACAACTTGACTGACTGCTGCTATTGCTTCTCTTGGAATCTCTTTCCTGAATTTGTCTTCCAGGGAGTCCACAACATCGGAGGCCATGTGTTTTTCTACAGCTTCATACAGTGCAACAATATTGTAGAGATATATATTTGAACAAAAGCCATGAATAGTTTGGACCCTGTAAGGAAAGAGATACTGCCACGAATCTAGGAAATCAGTCAGGAAACGTTTCCTGTCTTTGGGAGATACTGGTGTTCTTTTTACCAGACAAAAAGTCATCTCTAAGTAGTTCATAAGCACTTTACGGTCAGCTGGATCCATTTTGTCCACTAAGTGTTCCATTTCAGGACTCAAGGGTTCTTGTTCTAAGAGTTGTTCAATCTCCTGAAGAAGGAATGATGTTGTATGCTGGATTTCACCAGAGAAAGAAATACTTGGGAAACTCTGTCCAATGTCAATGTATGCTTTGTTCAAAAGACACTGAATTGCTATGTCTTTCTCTATCTGAAAAAAATCATATGTCACTTCTCTTCCATGTCCACAATTAGTGTTGCATTGGGAGAATTTCAACAGCTCATCAAAGTCAGGGCCTTTCATGATGTGCTGCACTTTAATATCTTCTACTTTCACTATTGGGACTGTAGCACATGTATTTGATCGCAAAAGAAAACTACTTGACAACACATCTTGCAGAAGTGTTACAGTCATTGCTTCATCTAAGATGCGATTTTGCATTCTTATAAGAACTTCTAAAACTTTGTATACTTGGGATTCTTCATTCACAACAATACACTTTTGCAGTTCAGTATTTGGATGGATATTTTCTAAAGGCCCCAAATCATCAGCATACATGTCTAGGAGAGACTTCATCTTTATGATCTCCATCCAAGACTGCAAAAAGTCATCTAAGGTTTGTTTTACTTCCTCGCCAGTGAGTTCACTCCCCCTACTAAGAGAATGTCTGAAATCTGCAAGTGTTTTCTTGCTACATTCTCTTTTCTTGTATCTGTAACTGATGTGTTTCACTGTACAAATATGCCATTGTATTACATTCCAAATATGCTTTGTAAGGTTTAATTCTTGCTCATGATACAGCATTAGTGAGAGCAAAGGAAACATCTTTCTGGAACTTGTCAAAAGAAATTGCATTTTCAAATTTTCAGGATTTGGTTGAGTGATTTCTCTCCACAAGCGGGGTAATGATTCATAGCTTTTTCCTTCCTCAAAAACCTCACAAACAGAATCTTGCAGAGACCAGTCATCCATTCCATAGATAACTTTGAACTTTTCAACATCTTCCTTGATAACATCATATCGTCTTTGCACAAGGGCAGAAATAGTTTCAGATATGTGCAATTCAAACTCGTCTCTTTCAACTTTTGTGCCAACATGCCACTTTACATCTGTCAAGAACACACAAGTTTGCCTCAGAACAATATGCATGAAACGATTGAGCTGTTCATCTCCCATACTTAAAAGCGTTTTCAGGCATTCCCACTGGCATAACAATCTGCTTTTAAAGTGATTTGTCACATCCATATCTTTGTCAAGGCATAGAAGTGTTTGTAATTCTTCATCATTTGTATATCGCAAGGCTAGTGCACCAGTTAAGCAACTGAAGTATATGAACTGAAGTACCCTGAACACTACCTGTGGCATGCCACGCACTGTTTGCCAGCAGATCAGTGTCTTGCAAGCATAATAATCATATGATACTTTTGAAACATCTAGGTCAGTCATAACTTGATCTTGTGATAGTTTCCTTGAGCAGTTTGGACAATTGCTTTCCACCTTGAATGCGTTTCTGTAGCCACATTCACAATCTAAGAAGTAAACAGATGATTTAGTGACTGCATCAGTTTCATCTGAACATCCAGGGATAGACCTCTTGAGACCCACACATGGGTTGCATATGCACTCCAGGAGAACATGCAGACCGACTTCAGAATCCAAACTTGGTGCAGCAGAAATTATTGTTGATAATGTGTCTATGATCACAGATACCATATGGTACTCAGTAACAGTAGACGGAACTTGGAGAAAGAAAACTCTAAATTCCTCTTGCTGACAAAGCTTTGAGAACAGTCTCATCTGATGATCAGGCATATGTTGATCTTTAGCCTCTTGTACAAGTTTTTGTGATATATCTTCTTCTGATCTGTTTAGAGTTCTTGCATTGGAAGCAAGACAGAATTGGTTCAACGCATATGCAAAGAGGCTGTAAATTACATCACCACATTTCTCCTGTAGCAGAGTTTGAAATGGCTTCATATCACCCTCAAGGAGGCAGTTTGCTGCCTTTTCTATATCAGAGAACAAACTTGTGTGAGACAGTACCATTGGATTTTGCTCTAGAAACTTCTCTGAGTTATCTGAAGCTGGCTTAATAGAAGTCAGATATGCCAAGGAACTGGAAAAATGTATTTTCATATTAATGCATGCTGTTATGCCTCCTCCCTTTGTCAGACATTTGAGGAAATATGTTTGCATTCCTTGGATTCTGCTTGTTGTAGAAAGGGTTTCTCCTTCAAAAAGTTGATTTACTTTTTGCCAAGAGTTATCTTTTAGGCTGTTTTCTTCAACTGAAGTAACCAGGCATTGCAGTGCTGATTTGAGATATGCTACAAAAACCAGAGATTTAAAAGTCACTTTCTGTGAACACATGTATTGTCTCTTGAGCTCAAGAAGTTTGTCAAGAAACTCGGATGGTTCCTTTTGAAGTTTTTCACTTACATTTGCAAATATGTGGTTTTGCAAGAGGTCGACAATAATACAGGCTAGTGGGGAATCTTCAACTTGTGCTTGGCTTCTTCTCAACCACTGGTCGAGTATTTTGAAAAACTCATTCTCCAGTAAGCTATCTGTCATCAGTTCTTCTGGATCATGTTCAAATTGCAAGTAGATTAAGTGATGTAGTACTGAACCCAGGAAGGCAATATCACTTCCATCCTCCCCACAATCATAATAAATGCCAGACAATGTTTCAGCAAAATCTGTTTCTGCATTAGCCATAAGACAACAACTTGCATATGATGCAAGAAAATGCTTCAAATCTTTGGAAGGTATATCGCAACTGACCTTTCTCACAAAGTCTTGGAGTACAAGCACAGAATGTTCAGAATCTAAGGTGTCAGTTGAAAGCTTACTGCCTATATCCCAGAAATCTGTTTCACTTACTCCATGAGGCAGAATGATGAGAGAGGCCATATCACTGCATACTCGAAGTGTTTGTAATACCATAGGCTCGACACTGACATCTGAAGTGAGTGACAGAACTAAATTGACCAACCTCTGCCATGTTTTTACAGTTTGTACCTTGCTCAGTTCCTGTGATGGTATGAGATATCGGCATGCTAGATCCACAAGGTGTGCTGCTGCATCTGAATCAGTGCTGTGTTCTAAGCTTTCAACTGAGTTTCTTAATGACCTATCATCTTGTTCATCACTTCCACTAATTTCAACAGCTTCAGGTCTCATATTGTTCCCACCACTAGACATATCTGACTGTTCAGCACCAGGTTGAATTACTTCTGGATCTGTGTGCAGGACCTTTAGATCCTCACCAATAGATTTCTCTACACATGTGTCCATATTTTCCATTGTTTCATGGACACATGTAACTTGCTGGCAACTTGCAGTAGCAGATTGCACCATATTCTGTTTCTCATCCTCTCCATTATCATCTATGGGCAAACTGATTTGGTCTACACATCTTTCTTCTGTTCTGTCATGATGGTCTCCTTTTAAATCCAAAATAATGTCTTCCTCATACAGCACTGTCCTTTCAATTCTTGGCTGATCATGATCTGTAACTTCCATTCCATTGTCATCTTGTTCTTCATGGTACACACTTGTTTTGATTTGCTCAATTTTCTTAACCTTTTCTGTCAGTTGATAAGTATGTTTCAGTATATCATCAAGTGATACATTCAGCTGTGTGAGACAGGTATCAACAAGTATTAGTTCTGATTGCAACTGATACTTAAAAATCCATGCTGTTACATGAAGTTTAGTCACAAACATGTCAAATGCATCTCTGTCAAGATAGGTACGACTTCTTACTGCATGACCAGTAACGTCAATCATTTGATCTTCTGACATACTCAAAGGCAGTTTTGCTGTGAACCATTGACAGAAATCATGAAAGTAGTCACCAAACTGTTCTTCTCCATAGCTGTATTCAAACATATCTGTGGCAACAGTATTTACATGTTTTCTGAATGATTCAATTAGTAACTGTGTAACTCCCTTGTCAATACAGTCACTTTCCTCAGTTTGTTTGCCCCTCCATAGATCCAAGAATATACTTTCAAGACTTTCAATAGCATGAATAAAGTACATACTAAAAGGGAATTTTGTGCCAAAGGTTGACATTTTGCATGGGAGACATTCCGGTCCCTTCGGTTCTGCAACTCCTGATATGTCAACAACATTTTTATTCAAGACAAGGCATTTCCATAGCCCCAGTTTGTCCTGCTTCATTGCATTATCAGCTTCTGTACATACACAATCCCACCCATTTAGTCTTTCAATGGTAAACACTAAAGCAGCTACTGGATGCAATAGTGTTGATTTTATTTCTTCCAAAAGTGCATTTTGCAATGTCATGTAGTTTTTCAATTTCACAATATTGCATGCAGTTTTAAGTTGCCAGTTCCTATCTTCTCTGATAGACTCTGTCTCTTTGATCCATTCCTCAATTCTTTCAAAAAAGACATCCACAACTGTATCAAAATTGGTCATTGATTTAATACTGTCTATGGACCGAGACTTTTCTGTGTATCGTATGCACACAAAAGCTTCAAATAGAGTTTGTAAAGTGATCCCACTCTTTCTCAGATGTCTTTGAGCCATATCTGCCAGTGTTCCACGAAGCAAGTCTTTCAGTGGAATAATGTGAGGCTCTAGACAATCGACTATCGCCATATCACATCCACTTAAAAAGTTCACAAGGCCTATTTGGCTGCCTTGTGTAGTCCTGTCCACATGTATGATGACAACTACATGTTTAATGATCCCTGCAGAAGTTTCTGTTGATAAATATCTGTTCTGTTCCAATTCAAGGATGGATTTTAACAGAAAGAAATGTTGTTGATCAACATGTGACACTTGTATGAACAGCCAGTTATGATGTGTATCAGACCAAAACTGTTGTATGCTACTTGACAGCTGCTTTTCAGATTTGAATGACCCCAGCTTTTCATACTGGGCATGCAAGGTACTGATTTGGGTAACTGCTGGAAGGTCAACATATATGTTACTGTGAGTAAATATGATTGCATATATTCCAGTGCTACAACACTCCAACATGTGTTGCAAAAATGTCTGCAAACCATCATGTATTGGCAGAGAAAAGTATTGTTCTCTTATTGATTTTACAAGACTCTTTTCTTTTGTCATCAAAGCTGAATTTTCAGCCCGAATTATTCCTTCAGGAGTACAGAGTTTGATAATCTTCTGCAAACACATGTTTCGAAAATCATCCCTGTCATCAAGTGTACTCTTGTATTCACTGTGTACCAATGATGGGATCAGATCTGAACTGAATATTGGAAGGAGCTCTGTTGGACTCATGGATTCAAAACCTGATACTTTGGAAATGTCTTCAATCCATGACTGCAGTTGTGCAGCAATCACCTTTGCTTCAGGAGCAAGCACATCATTCATAACTAGTCTTTGTTTTTCAAAGCGATTTAGGAATGGAGGATCTGACAAGTCAACTTTCTGTTCTTCCACCAGAACAATGCACCTAAAGCTATCAGCCACTTGACACAATGGGTTGCTGTATGCACCAAGTGCTATTCTGCAGTTCTTTTTGCTCCCAACTGTTGTGTAATTCTGGTTAAGCATATCATACAGACTTCCATAGATGCTTCCCAGATCTTTCAAAATAAGCGTGATTCCTTGTTCCATGCAAAAGATAATCTTACTGAGGATTCTGTAGCTGTAGTGGTCTGTCTGATCTTCATCAAAACAACTGCCCAAGATAGTGATATATGGACGCCTGTTCATTCGCAGAAGATCTTCAACAATGCCTAGAGATGAATCTCCTCTTGTTATAAGCATCAAATGTCTAGCAGAAGTGTCCTTGATGTTGTCCTCAATAAGTTGTAATAATGATGGAAAACATTCATCTGTCAGATCCACAGGTTGTCCTTGTTTTGTCATCCGTTTTAAGTGTTTGTTGAATGTTTGAATCACAAATTTGATTTCCGATTCCAAACCTCCAAAGTTACGCAAAAGTCCTTTCAAAACAACTTGAAACCTATTCTTCAGGCCAGATGACTGAGATTCTGATTCCCGAGAAATAAATTTAACCAAAGAGTAGAAGTCTCTGAGACCATGAAAATTCCTGATGTTTTGGTTTTGAACATATTCAAAATACGCATATGCCAAAGCTTCCAAAACACAGTCAACTTCTGTTGACAAATCTGAGTATGTGGTACTGTCTATCGATTTGGATTTGTTTGCTTCACTGCTGAATTCAGCAATAGACACTGCTGTAGTGTACAACTCCTTAACAACCATATCTGGTCTTGAAAGATGTACTGCACGGTTCATTTTGGCTGCATCTAAAGCCCAGTTTGATATTCCAACAACAGCAACATCTGGGAACTCTTTCCTCTCTGGCTCTAATAGGCTGTGCAGGACCTTTAGTGGGTTATATGCAGATACTTCTGCAAGACCTATCTCATCAAGTATTACAACAGGTAACACATCTTCCTCTTTGTTATGCTCTCTGTATTTCTGTGCCTTTTCAAAACCTTTATGATTCCATCAGATGTAGACGATTCTGAACCTTGATACGACACATAATACAACTGAGGTAACTTTTTGAAGTAGCCATTTTTGGAATCTTTCCCTCGAAGATTGCTTTTGAGAAGCTGTAGTGACAATGATTTACTGCACCCAGGCTTACCAACAACAAATATTGGTATGTGCTTCAGGACACAAACCAGTATGACAAACACATTCTCCTGAAGTGCGGTGTTTCTGGCTATGCCATCAGGAAGTTCCATCTTGTCAAGGATTGCCTTCTGATTTTTCGTTATTGTTTCCAGAACAAATTCATCACCAACATTTAAACCATGCTTTTGTAAAAGGCCTTGTACATATTGTCGATATTCTTCCCTATGTTTGCTTTCATTTAGTCTTGAATGATACGAGTGTGCCAAAGCCATTATGACAGCTTCTGTTTCCCTCTCATCTGTGCTGTTGCTGTTATCAGAGATTTGTGCAAGCATATTATCTCTAAACCAGGACACCAAGAGTCTACACCTATTCACATCTCTCAAACTAACACAATAGGGATGATTTTCAACATGCCTTATGAATTTCTGTGACATTACCAATAGATCTACAAGTAACTCACAGGGCAGAGATTCCAAAGTTTTTGCGACCATACTGCCTATGTATGCCTTTTCATCTGATTCTGTCAAGCTGCCATAATCCCACACATAGTCTACCATTCTCTCTGGCAAAGGGTGAACACGGTAGACAAGTTTTGACTGTTCATCACTTTTCACTTTAGTAACAAGTCCTGCTGTTAAAATGTTACATTCTTTTCGTGTCTTGTAAGGGTTGCAAGCTGCCATTATAGCAAGGTTTGGTGGAAGAATCTGACCCTTGAATCTGTGGTGACAAAGAAGCTCATTCAAAATTCCTAAATGATCACATGTGTTTATTTCATCAAAAAAGAGCCACACTTGCTTTCTAAATTATCTTTGCACATCTTCATTGCATCTAACACACAACTGGTCACATCTTCTTCCTCAATGCCTGCATGCATGTTCTTGGCAATGAAATGAATACCACATACACTTGCAAGGCACCTTAGTAAGCTGGTCTTTCCACATCCAGTTTCTCCCATTATTATCACTGGGATATGTGCTTTTATCCTCATAACAATTAGGATCATTTTTAGCAGGTTGTCTGGTGTCATTTCATAAGACTCAGGTATTTTGGTTTCATCAAGTGATCCTGCAATATGTTTCAATATGTTCTTCAACTCTGAATTAGGCAGCGCTGAGAAATCAGGTAGTTCCTTCTTCATCTGTGTCTCAAAGAGAGTTTTGACATGGTCTGGAATTTTTTTCAAGTCTCTATACAGGATTGAAAATGTTTGGATATCTTGAGAGTGGAAAGCTACAATTAAGTGATTGCTATCCTCCCACTGGATCATGCCCTGCACTCTATCAGCCATTGTTGCTGCAGTTGTCATATCACTATTGCCTCTGGGGACACACTTCTCACTTTTCGTCCATACAACAGTCTGTTTTTGTTCCTGCCGACATGGCCCAACTGATCTTGTTGCAAATTCAGTTGATGAAGATACCAAAGTCTCTACAAGTGAACTCTTCACTGTGTTGTCACCAACCATGGAATACAAACTTGATGTCCTCAAAAACAAACTGCAGGACATTTTCTTCAACTGATCGGCAAGTACATTCAACAAAATGTTTACTACTGAAAATGACAAATCTCCAATTGTAGAAAAACATTCTCTAAGAAGGATTCTGCACTGATCTTCACGAAGTGGTGCTTCAATATTCTCACCAGCAAAATACATATCTGTTGAATCAACTGTACCATCTTTCAGCTTCTGCAGATAGTGACAAACAACTTGAACTGCACTGCCAACTTCCTGACTAACTCTTAAATTTGTAAAATTTAGCCAAGGAAGTCTTTTCTTTTCAAAATAGCAACTGGTTTGCAAATCATTTTCCAGAGTGTGGTTGATTGTGTTGGCTATCTCAATACGTAAGTGCCTAGTTGTACAGGGAAATATGTTAGCACCACAAGACATAAACCTCAGAATGCAGAGTTTGAAGATGAAAATGTCAATTTCCTCAGAATTAGATACATTTCCTATGTTGATATGAAAAAGGTTGTCCCGTTCCAGTGAAATCTCTTTTAACTCTGACATCAGTGTCATGTCAGTAACATTACCACTAACATCTAGGGTCACAACACTGAGCCCCTTATTAAAAGCATCACATTGAACCTGTTCAGTTTTTCCTTGACCTGGAAGATCAGATGTAACAACAATTACATCAGGCCACAATTGCTGAATGCCTTTTGAGAGTGCATTGTTTAACATAGGTCTTAGTTTATGGATATTTTTGGAAAAGTGGTTCACAAGAGGATGATTGATGTTTCCTCTACAAATGACTGCCAGATATTGTATCCTTTCTCCAAGTTCTTTTAGTTTGTATACAAGTTGAAACTGCACTTCATTTCTCAATTTCTCTGCATTAACAACACAGTAAAGTTGTTTCTTAAATCCTTTGTATTTGCCTCCAACTGATCTGTTGAGCAACAGCTGTATACTTTCCCATGTTGTATTTTCAGTACAGAAAAGTACTTGATGATGACATGGTATGCATCCTGTGGTGTTCCTATACAAAGTCATCAGAGTAGGAATGATATATGCATTACTTTCACTCCAGTTGAGGACATACAGTTGACCCTCTTGCACCCTCTCCAGAGGACGTACCTGTGTTGGGTCAAAGTCTTCATCTTCAGGAAACTCTTGACCATTAACAATGCTATTTCCAAAAATGTCATCTAATGTAGCACCAATGGCATTTAAGTTGAATTCATCACATTCTGACATCCTTAGTTTATGTTGTGAATACAACTCTTGTGCTGTGTCTAAACTGCCAGGTGTGCATCCAGCACTTTGAAATAATGAAAACAGTGCTTCCCTGTTCAACCCACCCTCAAGGAAATCTTTGACTTGGGTAACTTGCTCTGGATAGAAATGATTTAACCAATACCATTTCTCCCTTGCTTTGTCCAGAGCTTCATTCCATTCAGATAAAAATAATTTCAGTCCTTCCTCCTCACCTGCAAGGTGCTTTTTCTCCTGAGAGATGACATGTCCAACATGATAACTGGGATGCCCAGTAGAAACCAACTGTTCATACAGTCCTGCTATTGCTACAGCACAATCAACCAACTCAGTAAATTTACTCAGTGCAGATTTAAGACTTGTGTCTTGTTCGGTAGATTCTGTGTTAACTAACAGTAAAGCTCTGCTTCTGTAATCATTCAATTCATTTGAATTCAATAGTTTCTCTCCTTTGTCTGCTCTGTACTTTAACACAATACGAACCTTACTCCTGCTCAGTATTGTGAATGAAAAGCTTGCCTTATGATCACGAGTCAATGCTTTTACAATATCCTTGGTCACTTCACCTCTGTTGGCTAAATTGTGGTAGAGAGAACGCAAGCCATGCAGATTAGTATTACACTCCCTCAGTTTGTTGTCTAACTTTGTAAGTTCATTTGCTTCAACTGACTTCTGCACAGTCTGTAGAAATAATAGTACTGAATGCTGCAAGGAACATTCAATTAATGGTCTCAGGAACCTCCGTACATCAATGAGAGATGAAACCGTTACTTCCTGCACTGACTGTTCAGAGTGTTCTTCAACTGCATCAATTAGATTCCGAAGATCTTCATGTTTTATTTCTTCAATGAAATCAAGAAGGTGTGTTGATTCAGAAAACTCTTTGAGAACATCAACAATGTGCCGGTCCATCAGTTTGTCTATTTCTTGAAAGGTTTCACTTGCAGTAATTAGTGATTCCAAGGTGTCCTTGTGTGTTTCAATTGCACTAAATGCTGATACTGCTGTGGTAAACTTGTTATCCTTTGTAGCATCAAGGTTAAGTACCTTCAGAGAACGTTTCAATATGTCTGTCTTGTCAATGTACATTTTGTAGTCACATTCCAACTGTAGCGCATCCTTCACCGGCTGAGGAACAAAGCTGTTCATTACTTTCTCAGCTGTTTGTATTTCACATTCAAGATCTTTAATAGATATAATGTGAATATCTGCGATAGGAGTGTTTCTGTCACTGCTTAATCTTTTCCAGTATGTCTCAAATTTTCTTTTTGTCAATTCCATCAGATCACATACAGTTGTTACTAACAATGAACCACCACCCTGTAAAACTGAGTCAGCACTGAGCGAGTTTCTATACATTTTCAAGAAGACTTTTGATTCCCAAAGATATCTGTCCATTTTGCATATGTTTAACATGCTTTTGAAATCCTCAAAGAAAGACCTGTCCACAATGCTTTTCATGGCAATATTCAGTCCTATCTCAAAGTCCTTTGCCTTCCCTTGCATTCTGTACATCAATTGTTGAAGAGAAGGTATCTCCATGGCTGCATTCTCAGTCATTATAATGAGCACTTCTAAGACACATTTCACTTCAATATCAGTTTCTTCTACTTCACCTAGATACTGCTTCATGCTTTTGACTATTCTGTCATGCTTCTCCAGTGGATCAAGAAATGATAGTGCAATGAAATGATCTTTTTTGCACAAATCATTGAGCTTTCTGATAACATGAAGTTGTATCTGTCCATCTCTAAACTGCTTGAAGTATTTGTCTCTACATGTCAAAATGTTTCTTAAGGATTTGTTGTTTCTGAACGGCTGGTATTCAGAGTGCATGCAAGCACAATGACACAGTCTCCAATGCTGCAAGATGATATATAACATATCATCAGAGTTCTCATGTATTATCCGTCCAAGTGTATTGATTCCAATTTGAATTATCTTCATTCTGCAAATATGACAAAATATTTACAATAATATCTTGTTCCACATACAGGAGCTAACAGAAAATTATTTCTTTAGGGTTACATATTGATTGCTGCATTGTGTGACAGAAGCATGCAGGCTATGCATGACATAGCTTCTGCTTTATACTGAAATACATGTTTCGTGTTTTATATATCTGGATAGAGTTGTATCAAATTCTCACTTATGACTACCGATGTGACGTTAAATAAATATCACTTCCATACAATAAAAATCTGTCCATAAAAAAATTGTTTATATTTATTAGCAGACAATAAATTAACTATCACCAACTAAGTATTCATCCTTTAGTTACTGTAAATTTACCAATAATTCTTTACTAGCAAAGAAGCACTTACTATAGTCCGTTTGGCTCAACATCGGACCGATGAATTGCAATCTTACTCGAAAATAACTAAACATAGAATACTCAATGAAACACTAATCATAATCATAACATCAGACAAACTCTGTGATTTTTTTGCAGAATTTATGACCTAAAAATATAAAAGTTGTTTAACAAACTATCATTAAAATTTTGACACAGTTCACTATTTGTTACGAGGGAGGACTGCAAAGGGAGGAACAGCCAGGTGTACGCGGAGAGCACGTGCACAAGTGCCGACAAAGTCATTGATTCATTAGCCGTCTCCATCCTTTTCTGCACACCTGGCTGTTCCTCTCTTTGCACCCCTCCCTTGTAACAAATAGTGAACTGTGTCAAGATTTTAATGATAGTTTGTTAAACAACTTTTTTATTTTTAGGACATAAATTCTGAAGAAAAAATCACAGAGTTGATGTTTTGATTATGATCATTGCTTCATTGAGTACTATATGTTTCATAGTTTTCGAGTTAGATTGCAATTCATCAGTCCGATTTTGAGCCAAACGGACTATAGTTACTGTTTTTTTCTGTCAAGTGGTATGACAAGAACCAGGGTTAGAGAAAAAGTGTGTCATTTTGAGAATTCTGAATTACCATTCATTACAGATTAAGATATAATGACCCAAGAAACATATTTAAAGAAAAAGAAAGTGATTCACTTTTTTCCAGTATATAGAAATTTATACACATGAATGCCATGAAATGGTGAGTGGTAGACATTACTGTGGGTTCTCAGATAATTCATTCTGTCTCACATCTTCCAATGCACTATTGTCAATGCAAGAGAATAATCATTCTTGAATATAAGCTGACAACAGAAATACAAGAGTGAATAAAAGCTGTTGAAGTTAGATCATTGTCTTGTGTTTACTGAGGAACTATGGTAAGATCCAAAGGCCCTCGAGTGCTGAAACAGTACGTCTTGCACATCCAAAATCATCAGAACTGAAGTACGAGGGTATGCAAGTTCAGGTAAAGGTACATCATTCCAGGTGTCAGCTAGGACTATACTGATACCCAAACAACCTTTAATTACTGACAGGTGACGTCATAAAGAGACTTTAAAATACCTTGGATACAAGCAGCGAATTCCCATCCACTAACTTTTCTACCTGAACTCGAAACAAGATCAGCGAGGCTGTCTCATCTCTATTTATATTTAGATCTGGGCATATAGATTGAGTGACGAAAGTCTCTCCACAACTCTGTCTGACAAAAGTTATGACTTCAACATTCCATAATGTAATTTTTTTATGAAAATTGATATTTTATACTTATCCTGACTCATGCTTAATTGCTTGTCTCTTTCTTCTTGCGAATGATAGTGGAACACTTGAATCCCCTTTTGAAGCTCCCTTAAAAAAAGCGGACGTAAAATCACTCACCCAGTGTTATCTCTCTTTAGACTCTTTTGGCGGGAAAATATGTCACATGATCCAACATGCCCCTCACTCTCTCCTGAATATGCGCCCGACACCTGGATTACAGGGAATCCAGAGTGCCATGAGGGGAGGTTGGGAGGGCTTACCTCATGAGTCAGGATAAGTATAAAATATCAATTTTAATAAAAAAATTACATATTTTTCCTTATCCTGACTCATGCTAATTGCTTGTAGAATCCAACGGAAACGGTGGTGGGTCAAGCCACTCTGGATTCCATGCTGATTTACGTCCTGCATACCCCCCTGAGGTAACTTCTTCCAGCTTCCTCTGATGAGTTGGGGGGACCACAACTTGTCAGATTTTCCGGAGCCGCTTCTCCTGACAGTAAAAGTGGATTTATACGACTCCATGTCTTGATTTCCGCATCAAATGGAGAAGTGACCCTTCATCATATACGAGTAAGTCCTTACAAGTACAGGGTCTGTCATTCATGCTAGCCTATCTTTAGACGTGAGCACGGACTCTAAGCTCCCACTCTTCTGAGTGTCGGCTTTAACAAGTCATGTGATAAAGGGTGAGATTTACCTCAGCGTCTTTGAGGAACCGGCAATTGTTGTGCTACAACAAGAGGCCCAAACTGGTGGATACCGGAGACATCCTCGGTAGCAATGTCTCTGAGGTAGTGGTTGGCAAACACCGTCTCCGACTTCGAATAGCAGCCCTCCATTATTGTCGAGATAGAGCAGTTTCCATGTAGAGCAAGTGTCGACCCGGTGCTCTGACTTCATGAGGATTGGAGGCTCGTGGTGGCTCAAGTCCTGCTGCTTTATAGGCTCTCAATATGATGGCTCTCATCCATATTGATATTGTTGTACGTGAGATTTCTGTAGGTGTCTCCGTAGATAAAGGGATGAAAAGGTGCTTGAATTTTCGTCTCCTCCTCTTAGACCTTTGTAGGTAAATTTGTAATGCTCTGACTGGACATAAGGATAGATCCTGGGTATCCTGTGGTCTAAGGACTGACGAAAGTGCTGTCTGGCTGACCGGGCAATTGGTTCTTTGCTATGAAATCTCATCTCAATCCCAGATGTATGATATTGCGATGTGCATCAAATTGTATTCGTTCAAAGTCCAGAGCATTTATTTCTGACATCCGAGCTGCTGTTGCCAAGCGACCAGGAACAGAGTTTTATGTGTTAGAAACTCATAGGATGTCCTTCCTAGTGGTTCGTAAGCATCACTGGTGAGATGCTGTAAGACTACGTTGAGATCCCAAGCAGGCGCTTTGAATTTCTTTTCTCTGGTACTTTAGTCAGTTTCACACCCGTCTTCATGGTGATAACTGTACTGAGGGCCGCTAGGTATGTAGAGTGTTGAACTTTTTTACCGCCTTTTTTGTCTGAGATGACAAAGGTATTCCACCACTTGAGGATGTGTTGCTTCCATTGCCGTTGAAGCCCTTCCTTAAAGCGTATTTCTCAAAACTCTGCCACTTGTCGTCATACAAGCTGCGGTTGATGGGAAACCCCACCCTCACTGGCCAGTAGGGCGTGACCAAAATCAGTTGCAGGTTCTTTGTCTGCTTGATTTTCTGCAATACCTGCGGTATTAGAGCTGGAGGTGGAAACGCATATGCGTTTAGTCCTTCCCAGAGGATGCTTAGAGCATCTGTTGCCCATGCTTGTGGATCCGGAACTGAAGAGACGAATGTTTGTATTTGTTTGTTGAACCTTGTAGCAAACAGGTCTATCATTGGAGATCATATCCTTTTTATGATGCATCTGAATGCTTCTGGATGTAACATCCATTCAGTCGGGGATGGTTGTGTTGTACGAGATAGGGCGTCTGCTATCACATTCATGGCTCCGTGCATGTGACATGCTTTCACGTCGATGTTCAAATTGTCTATTATGCTGAATAGATGAAAGCTGAGATCTAGCAGATTCCTTGACCTTGTTGATCCTTGTTTGTTGATTTAGAACGCCAGTGTGGAGTTGTCCGTATGGATCATCAGTTGTGCGTTCCTTAGTATGCTGGACCGGTGTTGTAAGGTGTTTATTACTGCTTTCATCTCGAGTATGGTGATGTGCAGACTCTGCTCCTGACTCGATAATTTCCCCTGCTGCCACTTCGTTGTCGAGGTGGGCTTCCAAACTTGAAGTGATGCATCTACGTAGAGATGAGTGTTGGACTCCGGCTGTCCAGTTGACTTTCCAATATTTATTATGTTGTTTATTTAAAAAAATCAACAAGAAAACGGCCAGTATAGTGGAAAAATTATCAGGGCAAGTGATTTTACATGTGCCACTCTACCGGAGGACACTAGCAATTTTAAAGTTATTTCCACCCCTGCTGTCTATATGAGCGTTCACGACCACTTGTAGTGGGCGCAGTTGTAGTCTTCCTCTGTGTGTCATGTCTTGTGCTGACGTGAGAAGACCAAGCAGGCTCTGCCAACTTCGTAGTGATAACGGATGACCTTATGACCCGTGAAGACAGTCGAAACACACTGTACCCTGCTAACTTGACTGTAAATGGAGCCTTTCTCCCACGTTGAAAAGTTGTTCACACCTGTAGACGACTTACTGGTGTGTGAGCTATGCCCGACTTCTGCGCAGGGCGTTGTGTCTCATGGACCAATCAAATTGCAGCATTTGATTCATCTCAGATTCCCGCGATGTGATGTCACCGGTGTTGCAGGAAAAAGATCCTTGTAAAATCTTGTGCAGTCGTTGATTTCTTCATCAACACTCGGCCTTGTCCGTAATCTCCCGGAGTTACATGATTGAACACATGTATAGCAGGCTGAGTGGAAAACGCACAAAGGATTTCGCCGCGTAATACCGATGTAAGTAGACTGTCTTCCCTGGTTGTTGTGATTGTTTCCTTCTTCACTGAAGATAATGCAGTCATCTTATACAGATGATCAGCTGAAGTTCATACTTGCTTAACGCTGTTACTTGTAGACTGTAGTCATCGGTCTCAATGAAGCGCCGTAAAATAACCAATTGTGTTGAATACATAAAGGTTCTTGTAGAGATTTTTCGCTACGATGACCGTGAAAAACGGTGTCACGCTGAGAACTGCGACAATGCCAATTCTAGGCCAGTGAAAACTGTCAAACTGTCCCCTTCCTCACAAGAGTCAAGCTCGCTGATGTGTAAGTTCTGCAATGGGAGTCGTAGATGATCTTGTAGTTCTCATCAATCTCTGGAGCCTTCCTGAAGTTAGATAACTTGTATTTGAGTGCTTCTGATCCATGACGACGTGAGTCCCTGCCTTTCTGAAGACCTGCCTGAAGACCTGCTTGCAGGTGAATGGTTGGAATATGAATCTTCCCTTGAATCTTGAGACGTATCCCTCTGCTTTCGTGAAGGTGTGGATTCTCTTCTCCGTGATGAAGAGTGCCTGCACGCAGGCTCATGACGAAGATCTGCGTCTGAGGGTGAAGATGATCCATGTGACTGACTTCTGCGATACTCTGAAGAACGTTTAGTCCTGTTCCTGAGCGAAGGTTCTAGGAGATCTGCGTGGATATCTGCATGGAGATCTGCGTGGAGACTTGTGTGGAGACCTTCATGGAGACCTGCGCCTGCGTGGAGACCTTCCCGAAGGCGATTATTTCGGAAAAGGATCCTCCCTGGAGACCTTCGTGGGGACCTGCGTGGAGACCTTCACGAAGGCGATAAATTCGGAAAAGGATCCTCCCTGGAGTCTTGAGATGTATCTCTATGCCTTCGTGAAGGTGTAGATTCTCTTCTGATGGCTGTCCATATCGGAGGGGGATGATCTGCGATGCTCTGGTTCTGCTCCTTTGTGAAGGCTCCTCCAGTGAAGGTGTCGTGGTACATCGTAGAGTGTGTGATCCTTCGCGCAGGCTGCTATTTTCAGTGGGATATGATCTGCATGCTGCTTGTCCTTCGCGCAGGCTTGATGTAGATGGGGCCTCCGTTGCTGCTTTCTCCTGCGCGAACCTCCGTTCCATCAGGTCCAACATCTGCCGTGTAAACTGCTGCATGAAGACCCGGGGTTGAAGTTCTGCGAAGACGACTGCTGCTGCTGCACTGCGGATGACGCATCTAAGAGTACCAAGGACTCTTCTCCCAAGGACGGCTGCACTTGTGACGATCTGCCATCTCTATCTGATGTCTGCATTGATAAAACGTCTGACTGCATTGAGATGACTGCTGATGTTACTGTAGATGAAGACCTCGTCTTCTTCCTCACTGGCACTTCAGGGATGAGGATGGGTGGCTCATCATATACGTCTACTTCATCTGCCGGGATGATCTCTGTAGCAAAAGACCTCGTCTTAAGCGCTGCCCATGTGAAGACTTCGCCGGAGTCTTGTTAGTAGACGACTTCTTTTTCTGAGAAGTCGATGCCCTAGTCTTCTTCGACTGCGATGAGGTTATAGTTGATGTAGACGACCTCTTCTTGGAGCCGTAACTGCCATCAATCACAGCCACCTGCTCCGCAGACGCAGCCGGTAAACCACTGGAATGGTGAATGTCAGCAGACAACAACAAACGGTTATCAACGCAATCATTTGGTTTAGACATGACTTGTGAAAGTTGTCTAGACCTGTCCTTGGCATGCCTAATAATGGAATATAAATAATTATTAAATTCAAATTCAGATAAATGCTGACAAAGTTGACAGCGAAAGCTGGAAAAACATGGAGAAGTAAAATTAGGACATATTAAATACGGATCAGCAATCGACAACCGGTATCTGCAATGACTGCAAGTTTTCATCAAATGTAAACACGATGAAAAAACATGTCAACAACGTAAATAAATACAGAAAATTTGGAAAAAATTCAAACCATGTTGTTGGTATATCAATCCTAAAGCCGTATACAGCTAATTTAGTAGCAGAGGCCTAAAAATTAAAGGATATAACGCTGCATAGGGGACCCAGGCGCTCTCACAACCGTCCTCAAGGGCGAAGAAGGAGAGAGTGAGGGGCATGTTGGATCATGTGACACATTTTCCCGCCAAAAGAGTCTAAGGGGAGATAATACAGGGTGAGTGATTTTACGTCAACTTCTTTTAAGGGAGCTTCAAAAGGGGATTCAAGTGTTCCACTATCATTCGCAAGAAGAAAGAGACAAGCAATTAAGCATGAGTCAGGATAAGGAAAAATAATCAACTTTCTCTTTATGTCAAGCAATATTCCAACAGGTGAAGCTTTTGGTCTCAACATGTGAAGATGAAATTATTTTTTTTGTTTCTATAAAGATTTAAACAAGAGTCATCGGAAGATGACAAATCACCCAGCCCCGACAAATTTTAAAGAACAAATTATCTGACAGTTACCGGTACTTGAAGTCCAATCATTTCCATGGTAATCATGAAAAATATCTACGCCAAAAGTCTGCAAACTGCAAAGGCACCACTTCAAGATCTGTTCGATATACCTGCCAAATCTTGAAGAAAAATCTTGAACAGTTTTCGAGTTGTGCTCCAGAAACAAAACCCAACCCCCCCTTTTGAGAGTAAGTCTGAATTGTTTCCATGGAACCGAGAAAAATAAAAATGCCAAAAATCCATGCTCATGCTGTTGATCACTGGATTGTCTGGTCCAGACTCAATTATTTACAGACAGTCGCCATATAGCTGGAATATTGCGGAGTGCGGCGTAAACTCACTCACTCACTCACATAAAGTGCCGTAAAAAAAATTCTCTCACTCATAGCAGAATATTGACAAACTTTAGGAATAGCAACACCTTTTTTTTGTGAGTGCAATGTTTCCATACAGATTATTGTACTGTTGTCAAAAATCTGTGTCGAAACATCACACCCATGACATATAAGAACTTGTTATCCATAAAATTTGTCAGTATTGTACTTCCCAACTTCTAAAATGCAACTCAAAGAAGTTACTCATAGCAGAGTCATGCCCCCTGTATCATTATGCTCGTTACCTCTCTGTTTGAAGTCTCAGAGGAAAATCAGTTTTCATAATTTATGACAAGCCATTTTATGTAAACACATAATTACATTTGATCATTCGATATTGTGTTATGTCATCAGGCAGGATTTTGATAACTCAGTCTCACATAGGTATCAAACGGACGGAGGTGGGGTCCAACATGGTGCACATAGGTTTTGTCACAAGTTGTTTACATATAGAAGGAGAATTGGACTTGCAGGCAGTATCATACATACAACAGTACAGGTTTTACATTACATTATGTATGCATCGGACCTGTTTTTCCACATTGAAACAAAAAATCGGTGTAAAGATTGTGTAAGTTATAATACTTACCTCGAATAAGAGTAATCTGATGCAGTCAGTAGCTTCTGAAGTATCTCCACAAAATAGCATCCTCTGCTCTTGTCAACTGTTGTTTGTTCTAGATGAGTGAAAAAGAGGTCATCTACCATGAACCCCTTTTCAAGACACTTTTTTAAAACAAGTTCTACATCCATGGCAGACAGTGTTTGGAAGACCATTTCTTCCAGTTTGCCGGCTAGACTCTGATCTTGACGTATTTCCTTCGCCCTTAAAAGTTCACACAGTCTCACATACATCTCTGTCAAAAAATCTGCTGGAGAGTCTTTTCTTTTCAAACGGTTGGTTAAATTTTCCATCCACAAACAAGCGCTTTCAGATATCACTGATGGTTTAAGAGTCCACTTGTCCATTATTTTCAGAAAATAGCCATGCAGTTGTTCACAAGGTGATCTGCTGATTGTTTTTATCAATGTCTCTTTTTCATCTGTCTGTACAAAGAGTGCTTTGGACATCAAAATTTTCTTCATTGTGTCATCAGCTGGTGTTGTGTGGCCACCCAAAGACTTCATCATACTAAGTGTAACGTTTGTGACATCTGTTGAATATTTGTCCACAAGACATGGATGTCTGGATAACATCTCGCACACATCTCTCAGCCTATTCCAGTTTTGGCTGGATTTGATTCTGTTGATCTCAATCATAACTGAATTTGATATCAACTTCTGAATCCTGTCAATCAGATTTGGGTATTTCTCAAAATTAAATTTAAGAACATGAAACACATTGATATGTTCCATGAACAAATCAAATAGATGAAAAGCAGACCCAGAATCAGCATTTTCCTTTGAAACAACACTTGCCATTTTCTGAAATAGATCCTCATGTAAGTCAAAATCTGAATCAGTGGCCCGTGAAGCAAATGTGAATTTGTTGTCCCTCTGTAAGGATACAAAATATGAACAAGGGAACAAATGGAAACAGTACTTCATCATCAGAAGGACACAGGCTGTTTCTGGAAAGGCAGCCAAACAAACTTTCTGTGCAGAACACTGCAAAACCGAAAGCTGTGATCTCGACAATTCATCTGGTTTGAACATCTCAAAGCTTGTAAGTACACATAACGGTGACCCCAAACATGTCACAAGTGTCTGGTGATCTATGTCCCACTTACCTATCAAGTAAACAAGTATAGCCAGTACCTTTGGCTGTTCCACATGTTTTTCCAACAGAGATGCAAATCTTGTGAATAGGCCAACGTTTGTGTGCATATCTATGGTTGCAACTTTACATATGTTGTCAACTTCAGTCATCATTCCTCCAATTGACTCCCTGAATCTTTCTGAGGCAATGTGATGTAAGTGTAATTTGAAACATTCTGTCACATTTGAAGATCCTATTGAGGTTCTTATACGTGAAGTCACATGTGGACAAGGTTTAAAGGTTCTTTCAGAGTATGATGGGTTTATCAAATCAAATAATTTGAAGATATCAAAAGCATAATAAAATGTTGCATCCGGTGGACACTGAATTTGCTTAGAAAACCAAAACTTTAGCTCCTTGTCATATTTCATCCTCGTACTGTTTCCCTCTCTCTCTCCACTAAATGTATATCTCATTTTTACTGCATGTGCAGCATACTCTTCAGGCACATAGAGTATGACTTCTGTTGATGATACCTAAGAGATAAATAAATACGTGCATTATTGGCAAAACAAATAGTAGAGTTTTTCAATAATGGGTCATTGTGGCAAACAATAGGTATTGGTCTGTAAAATCCCTTATAACATAATTTGGTATCCAATCTGTATGTTTCATTTGATCTGTCTGATACATGTGTAATATGTGTGATGATATACAACAGTATTATAAAGACAAAGTTTGTAAATGAATTAGTAGAATGTTTTTGTGATCTTCTTGTGTTTCAAAATATCATACATTCACAATTACATTTCATAGAATAGTTGATTGAATTTCGAACATCAAACAAAGGAAATGTGTTACTTTGTTTCAAGTGCAGTATTTGAAACAAATGACATCCATGTCTATCAATTTATGCTAATAGTTAAATGGTTTATCTACATAAATTATAATATGTTCATTCACATCTTTTAAATTTCATTTCTAAGTTTAACAAATCCTCTAAATGTTGATATAAGGGAACTTAATTTTCCCTTTAACCTTTACCAGACATCAAAAAAATACTTTTAAAAGAAGTCTGCTCTCAGATTTATTCTTACATATTCACATTGTTTTCATTTGTAACTTACAAAATCACGTTCTAAGAGAATAAACTACATGTGAATATCAAACAAATTAATGATATGGGGTGTACAAAAACCTCTTGAACAAAATGAGGTGCTCTAATTGCTGGGAGGAAGAATGTGAATAATCAGCTTCTTTGGTCCAGTGGTTTCTGGGGGGTGTTTACAAACATAAAAGTACAAACAGGCTATGAAACACGGTGTGCTAACTTGACTTTCAAGCTGGTAAACTAAGAAAGGAAAATAAAATCTTTCTGCATTTGTGGTCATGACAGTTCTGTAGATATTTAGAAATAGAACAAGCACATGGTTATAAAGATTTATTCCCTAATGTATGTGTAATGTTGACAGTTCATAATATGTAAAGAAATGTGACCTATAATCAGCTTGGTTAAACAAGGTGAGGTGAGGTGAAATTGGGTTTTACGTCGTGCTTGAGAATATTTCGCTCATATGACGACGTGCATGCGTGTGCGGCTGCTTGTACTAGCCCAGACTTAAGCTGGTTTTATAGTGCTAGCCCACTGAGATACCATGCCGCAGTGAAGCATGAATACCCCACTCAGACACATTATACTGACTCCGAGCCGACCAGTCCTTGTTGTACCCATTAATGCCGAGCGCAAGGCAGGGACCAACAAGTACCATATTTTAACGTCTTTTGGTATGACGCGGTCGGGGATCAAACCCGCAAGCTTCCGCTCTCCGGGCGGACGCTCTAACCACTACGCCACGGAGGCGGTCTTGGTTAAACAAACTTTTAATAGCATGACATCAATTTGCTATCGATTTGTCCTCATTATTGTTTCCTATTAAAATGTCAACAGAGGTATGCACAACTGATAAGCCCTTACAGTCAATAGAAGGCTTAAAATGATGATTATATTTACACCTGTCAATTAGGCATTTAGAAGAGATACCCATAAAAATGATAAGACAATTACTTTATGAGCAGACACTGTGTTCCAATTTATTTTCAATTGATTCCATCTGGTGAATGACATAAATCATCATCATCATGTTGTGTTTAACCTGTCCTTCTGGCAAAATGAATTTGAAAAAAAGGATTTGCATTTTGAATTTTAACTCTATTATATCAATGATATTATGAAAGAAAATGTCACCCTTTAAAATGAGAAATGTAAATGAACGTAAATGTACGTTAAGCGATGTATAGGTAAACCTAGAGCAGGGGTAGTTTTGATCACTTAGGGAGATGAGAGAGACAGTATTTGTTGTCAAAATGATGAGCTTGCTACACACTTTATATACAACTAACTGAAAATCCTTCCTCATATGATGTCACTGCAGTGCTCTGGCGACAGAGTTACGTAACCTGTCTGTGATTTCGTTGGCGGGCGAGAGTGAAGCAGGCGACTTTTTGGCATCTTTTAATGGCTCCGTATTAATTAACCACAGGTTTTTTAAGAATGACTTTGGTGTGCCGCATAAGACTAACCACAAATCTTTCATATGTAATAGTTAAAAGAGTACAAAAAAAGAAAAGTTTATTTGTTCTTTAAAGGGTAACTGATCCAGAGCGATTTCACTGATCCAGCCAACAGTCTAATTACGAAACCTAGCTGCCAACTGGTCAGCCTCTGCTCCCTCAACCGTGACGGACACAGGGACTGGGCTACTGTCCACCCTGGCAGAATTTCTTCAACCTAATCAGTGGGACATTAGGAAGGGTGGATGCCCATCAGGTGCCGTTATTTGAAAATATCCCCGGTAGTTCTTGTCTGATTGTAATAAAGTATCCCAGCAGTGTAGGCTTTTTCAGATTTTCAAATGTTTGGATGGTATAGTGACTGATCCAATTTGATCCTATTTCTGTGTTTTTTACCTCAATAATTAATTGTGGAAAAATATGATGTCTATTACGTATGCTATGATATCAAAAACACACATTTGATATATTTGAATCCATAAACTAAACATGTTCACTTTGCCATTGCAAAATAAATCTGAAATTTTACTTAGGTACATAGGTATATACAGTTTTTAACTAAGTGCACAGCAAATACTTACATATATTTCTTATGTAACAATGAAGTTCCGTTCGTATCCCAAAACAGTGTCTGCCCATAAGTTTTTTTTTTTCAGGCAATCAAACTTGCATGCAATACAGCGATTACTACTCTCTTGCTGTAACCCTTGTTTGGTGGTAAACCTACACATGTTATTTGTCATCATTCACTTGATCGTCAGTTAATGAATTTATAACAGGTATAATTAGTGATAACACCACTCAGATTACCTGACAAAGGTTCCCATTTGGCATTTCTAGTGTCTGGAGTAAATACTCATCATACTAAACTGAGCTCTGATGTGGCAAATGTATTACATCTTATGTAATATGCGCATGGAAGCGCAGTAAGAGGAATTATCAGCTGAGTTACAAAACACACATCGATCAAAGGATTGACCTATAACACGCTGATTGATTAATTACTTTTATCCTGCACAGCGGATTTGTCAAAAGGTAGTGTTTATGTATGTAGATTTACTTATCTATACTGAATACACCCTGTAGTAAAGTCTCTTTGTAAAAGCAACGTCCTTCCTTAAAAGGATTAACCGCCAATACATTGATTGATTGCTCATTATTGGCTAACTAAATTACTTTTTTAAAGAATGGAGGACATCATGCAATTAGTTATGAAATACACAATGCCATTTTAGAAAGTGGTCATATGTAACATGTGTTATAATTGAGATTACACTTTCTTAGTAAAGTACAGATTCTAGTACTTTTTGGGTTGAGTCCCATCTAGGATTCTAACCCGCACCCTCAGAGGCAGGCACTTAATCGACAGCACACATAGTCAGACGCCTAGACCGCTCAGCCACCACGTCTTCCACAAAAATGGAAGTCGGACAACTGGTAGTCTAGACTGCGGACTTTGTAACCCCTCTGATAAGTGTTAATTGGCACGGCTCCCTAGACTACCAGTTGTCTACCAGGCGATTAGGTGCCTGATTCTACATCCATTTACGCTAACATTTCGAGAACGTGCTTTCGAACAAATCACATTACATTACGTAAAAGGGTATTATGACGTATTTTTGAAGTTTGTGGTGCTGTATTCTAAAGGTAGGCCAAATTTTTATAAAGTTAACATTACTATGAAATCAAAATTTTACATCAAAATCAGCATTTTTATCAAAGTGAATATTTTTGTATAAGAAACCAAATTATTCATCAAAGTCTACATAATTTTACAACAAAATCAACATAAGATTATCGAGTAAAAAAGATTTCATCTTTGTTGATCAGTCTATACTTATACTATCAATTGCGCATGCGGGTGGCGCAGCAGAGGTAACGAACCAGTCATGAATTCTGGGATATCATATCTGGGTATCCAAAAACAATAACAAAAGCAACAACCAGTCCACGGAAATTGCTCTGGATCAGTGGCCCTTTAGCCATACACAAATTGGGCAAAAGGCCTTTGATCATGATCGACATCTATGAAATTCTATTGCTGCAATTCAGTGGAATAGGGTGGATACATATTTACATTATAAGACAATATAGGATTTGTACATACATGTAGTTACATTATTAGCCCTGTCATCGACCATCAATTATCAGTCAAAACCCTGTCCTGTTTATTTCAATATACATGAATATATTCTGCACTGTTGATATATATGCCCAATGTCGTTAGTGTATTTTTGACCACTTGACTTTATTGACATTGCAAAAGAAAATGAGTAAGCACCCTGTAAAAATGGACCAGTGCCAAAAAATACCAACCAATTTGGTCCTAATGGCCTAATATTGGTATGTAACAAATCATTGGATATTAACTAGAAAACCAAAGCCTTTGATTCATAAAAATATTTACGAGTTTTTACTAACTAGCTTTTACTGTTTGTACTTTACAAACTAGCTTGTTGTTTATCTAGAGAATGCAATACTGAATGGAACATACCCAAGCCAGTAACCTAGCAGTAGGTTAAGGTTTTCAGTATAGGTTAATCACCCTTACAAGGTAGATGCTTGATTGGCATTTTAGAAGATGATATTTGATGAACTTAGAGATTTTTTCTGGGTTACATCTTTTTATTCTCGAGTACAACGTTTCAGGGCTTGTTCTGGCCCCATCATCAGGTAAAACTGAACAGTAACTGTTAACTCTGGCCGTGACGTCACAATGCTTATGACGTCACCATGCTATGACGACGCAATACATGTGGTGGTCAATAGATACAGATGACATGGCTAATAGAATACATGTTATTATGAATATATAAGATGCCGTTTACTGCAAAATTAATGGATCAATTTAGAACTGTGCAGATAATTATACAAAATTGTTGATTGATTTAGAAATGTACAGAGACGTATTTATAAATGTATAGAATGTAAAGTAATAGCAGTGTATACATAGACATTATGCTTTATACATGGGAACAGTGACGAGGGTAGGGTATTGTCTTATTGTTTTATGTACCACGCATTAGGGAGGTAGACACCCTGATCCCTGTTTATTGCTGGTTTTGTGCGTTTGATGAAGATAGCTTCAATCAACTTGCGTTTTCGCCAGTCACTGATGTTTTTTGCGAGGACTTCAGTTTCCCAGTCAATTTCATGATCGGGATTATTCATAATGTGTTCGGAAACTGCAGATTTCAGATCTGATTTGTCCATTGAAGTTTTGTGTTCTTTCACACGTGTAGCTACTTGTCTGCCTGTTTCACCAATGTAGATGTCACCACAGTCACATTTCAGTTTATACACACAGCCTTTAGGGTTGGATATAGCAGGGATTGCACCCTTACCATTTGCACGTAGCAAAGTTTTAAGGGTACGTATAAGTATTTGCTACGTGCAAATGGTAAGGGGTGCAATCCCGCTATATCCAACCCTAAAGGCTGTGTGTATAAACTGAAATGTGACTGTGGTGACATCTACATTGGTGAAACAGGCAGACAAGTAGCTACACGTGTGAAAGAACACAAAACTTCAGTGGACAAATCAGATCTGAAATCTGCAGTTTCCGAACACATTATAAATAATCCCGATCATGAAATTGACTGGGAAACTGAAGTCCTCGCAAAAAACATCAGTGACTGGCGAAAACGCAAGTTGATTGAAGCTATCTTCATCAAACGCACAAAACCAGCAATAAACAGGGATCAGGGTGTCTACCTCCCTAATGCGTGGTACATAAAACAATAAGACAATACCCTACCCTCGTCACTGTTCCCATGTATAAAGCATAATGTCTATGTATACACTGCTATTACTTTACATTCTATACATTTATAAATATGTCTCTGTACATTTCTAAATCAATCAACAATTTTGTATAAGTATCTGCACAGTTCTAAATTGATCCATTAATTTTGCAGTAAACGGCATCTTATATATTCATAATAACACGTATTCTGTTAGCCATGTCATCTGTATCTATTGACCACCACATGTATTGCGTCGTCATAGCATGGTGACGTCATAAGCATTGTGACGTCACGGCCAGAGTTAACAGTTACTGTTCAGTTTTACCTGATGATGGGGCCAGAACAAGCCCTGAAACGTTGTACTCGAGAATAAAAAGAAGATGTAACCCAGAAAAAATCTCTATGTTCATCCTTACAAGGTAGTTATTGAAATAAACTCTGCAAGGGCCGAGAAGAGTTTATTTCAATAACTACCGTAGTGAGGGTCATTAAACGGCTTACACCACGAGGGCATACTTATTTAATAGACAGACAGATAATTTATTTGAGTCTCACCTCAACATCGTACATATGTACATAGAAGGGAATAATAAAACGTTGAGCCAATCTTTACAGACTTATGAGAGACTATATCATATAAAATACAAAACTAAAAGAATATAGGATATATAATATATATTTACAGTATGAAGTTAAGGGTATAAAAGGGCATGTCCACGACAAATGATAAGAAAGCAGGTTTTGGCTGTATTAAAAGACACCTGTGGATTGGACAGTAAAAATCGGATCTTATCAAAGTCACTAAAAGACAAAAAGCTCACAATAAGCTGCTCACATTTACTAAAAAGGACACCTCTTTCAAAAGAATAAAGTGGACAGTGCAGTAAAACATGACATTCATCTTCAATAAAATCATTTTTCCAAGAAGAGTTAAAACGATCAAATAATTTATGTGTCACTTCCGAAACGACAAAGGGAATATGATAGTTAACATGTATGTTATTAAAATGTTGGAGACCAAGATCAGAAAATTTAACGTGCACTCTAAAATTCCAATTCCCTTTCCTTAAAACAGCAGAAACATTACTCCAAACAAAAACTTTACTTGTTATACGGAATGGATCTAAATTACATAATCGTCTTAATAATCTAGACATACCTCGCCACTGATAAACAAAGGGTGGGCACCAACCCATGTCACCACTAACAGCATTGTTTGGGGCATATTTACGTAAACCCATAAAAAACCTCATTGCACGGTTTTGTACAGCATCTATACATGAAAATTTATAGGTGCCCCATATGGATACGCCGTAATTGATGGTGGACCAAACCATAGAATAAAACAACTTGGAATATGTTTGATATGGCATACCGCCTAACACTTTATACTTAGTAATTAATAAGCCAAGTGCCCGACTAGCGGAATTAAAGTACTGTCGGAAATGCTAGAAAAATGCTTTTTGACTTATATTTAAAATTCAGAGGTATTACAGTTACTTAAATAACAAATATCACTTTAAGAAACATCTACCTAATGTAGACCGAGGGAATAAATTTTGAGACATGCCCTAAAATGTGTTTTTACTGTGGAAATACGAAAAACTAAGAAAAATGAGGGGTAGTAGGACGTTATTTGATACAAACATTAACTGCCCGTGTTACGTCATCAGCATGCACGGTATCGACAGGTGAAATTGACACCTGAGCACACGCTCCGGGGAGGGGTCATCTCAATAGATGTTTTCTTCAAAATGTTGAATATGTGTATGTATAGTATGCGTATTGGTTATGTAAGGGATCATTTGAGTATGTGTGTTTGTTTTGAAATAAACATACGAATTACTGTACATTGGAAAGAATCCTATCACTTGTGTTATCTTATTGATTGATCGTAGAAATGTGCAACGTTTTAATAAATGTTTTGCATGTCAACAGTATATTTCATTGCAAAAATATGGATGTTATTCGGTCTGTTTAATCTAGTTGTGAACATTGGCCAAAGATTTAACGAAGTCACTGGTGTAGCTTCTTTTGAATATATATATTATTATTCTCCTAAAGTTTGTAGACAGCCCGTCTAAGTACTCCCTTGTCAAAGTTGTCAAGGATGGTTGTACGTCCCGGTTTTGCTTTTGAGACGGTCCCTGTCTTGTCTGATTTGTTTACAATATTGTAAACTTGTTGGTAAGACATACCAACAGCTCTACAAGTTCTGTAATAAACCCTTTCTAAACTAATGAAAGGTTTACCTCTGTCTTTTTCAAGCACAAAAAAACTTATAAACCTTTGCAACAATCGAGTTCAAATAGTTGGCTATAGTACACGCTGTGATAAAGATGTGCACGCATGACGGGAAACTTATTTATCAAGAGTTAACATTTATATTAATATTTCTCCAATAAAGAAACGATAATTAAGTAAAGTAACACAAACATTCAACATTTATTTGTTTAAGAAAAACGTTGATTCATATTTTTACACCACCTGTATTATTAGCATAAATTTAAAGACTATTTCAGATTTCTGTTGTTGAACTCTGAAAAAATCTTAAGTTGTTGTTTTGGTATCAAATTCTCTCCTGTAAACTGCCCTTTAAATGCATGGGAATATTAAATCGATTGAAATAAAAATTAGGTACACTATAGGCGAGTTGATATATAGACAACATAGTTCATTTATCACCTTTATAAAGATATATGGGCAAAAAAGCATTTTTCTAGCATTTCCGACAGTACTTTTTTTGCCATGCGTAAATAATCTAAATGCATAATATACCTGTAATGCATTAGGCATGATGAAGATTATCAAAATAAGTACAATTTTATGTTTTTTTAAATAGAAATAATTGCCCAAGGTGAGTTAATTAGTGTCCTAGGTCAGTTAATCAGTTATGCTAATAAAACACTTCCAAGAACAATGGACATAACTTTCCCTAGTGGTTTAACATATGCTAATTTGAGGTGGGCCCCTTGCGACACTGACACAGCTATAAGCGATATTGTTCATAATGTATTCCATTTTCTATTTTATCAAAAATATAATTGTTTCAAATATCAAATGTTTCAACTTTAGCAATTACATGACATGTTTGTTATTCTAATTCATGATATTAACCGTAAAGTATTCATGAATAAATATTTGTATTTGTTACACTATCTTCATAAAAGAAATTGTAATTGCCTCACAGCCTTACCACCCACCAAAGAAGGTTTTCTCGCCCTTTGCACACTGAGATAGCTACAGTCTGAAGGTGCTATTGCAGGAACAACTATTTATGTAAAGTTGAAAGCAAAGAGGACTTCTTTTGTTTGGTTTTTGCATGGCTGTGGCCACAAATGCAGGATATTAAGCAATTATGTAATTGAGGTAGATGTTTTTATACAAATTATACTTGTCATTTTACGTTCATAATAATTTACTTATTGTGTACATAGTATATCCCATACTTATGTCCATGTATGAAATACATTCTGATATATTATATGTGTTCTGTTATCACTGTCTTCATTGTATGTATGCTCTATCCATTGCGACTAACAGAGGTCAGTTTTAACCAGAGAATGATGCATGTTGTTTCAACTGGCACCTGAGTTACTCTGAGACCACTGAAATGTTTTATATCTTACCAGATGGTGAAAGTTTTACACCAAAGAGAATATCATCATTGACACCAATAGAAGATTTTTACTATTTTTTTCTGTTACACTGAAGCATCAAAATATTTCTTGAATTGAAAATAACAATTTCATTGTTCATAGAGCCAGTTTCAAAGAATTACAATGGATTTACACATTTACTTTATGCTACTTACTCATTATTTTATACAATAAATTATATTCAATATACCTTTGATTGCTTTTCTTCAGAAATAGCTGCTTGTTCTCCATGAACATTCAAATCCACCGAAGAACCGCCAGCATCATTACACACAGGTGAGTTTGTCATCTTAAAACTCTCTGTTTTGGTGGTTTTAGGCTGAAATTGCAAGAAAATAGAAGGTAAAGAAGATTTTTCAGCCATGTCTAAAGACTTGACTAGGCTATTCCATGTATAGTTTGGCATGAAATGCATGTGGACCCGTTTTTTTATAAATATCTCTTCATCCAATGACCCAATCAATCTCAAACTGTGCAAGTGGATGTTTTGTCAGACAACCTAATCACATTGTAAATCACCGATTTTTTGCATTTGTATTAAAGAATCTGTCGATGTAACTGTCAACAAAATAAACAGCAAAACGCAGACGGCTTGCAGAGGGAGGGAGCCAATGACCTGTAACAGCGGCAGTGTTGAGTCATAAAGGTCAACGTTTGTCAATGTAGGTCAGCTATGTACGTATGAAGAGAGACAGGTATGAAGAGGTGTCACAGGTCGTGAATAGGGTAAGGTGGGTGCCAACTGTTAACCATCATACGGAGTTTGTTTCTCTGACTTGTTCAACATTAACCACAAAACCCATTAGTGAGAATTATTCTGTAGGTTAAAATCTTTAAATTTGTAATGTTAATGTCATATTTTGTTTATGCAGTACCTAAGTGGAAATGCATTTAAAGCACACAGAAAGTATATTTACACTAAATCATTAATCGGACCACCTATGGTTAGAACTCAACAACTGTTAAAGCCCCGTTCCCTCGGACACAAGCATACACAATCATGCACACTCATTGAAGAAAAGATAGAATGACGACAAAAGTGTCATGTTTTGATGTCGTTCACATTCCAAATTAAGCAATGCATTTCTAATAGCTTTAAGCATATAGATAGTTAATATTTATATTTTCATGATAATTTTATGTGAAATGAGTGTTTCACGTTACACTATAAGTCGTTGGAATTAGTCAGTGCTGTCATTGTTAAAAGAAGTTATATTTCTTTGAGCATATCTGGCTGGATACTATTATTATCTGTAAATATAATAACAGAATTAAACTTCATCAAGTTCACTCCATTCTTCCACAGAGGAGTCATCAGTGTCCAGACGAATGACAACTGGATTGACTGTTTGCTCCTTCAAGCCATCTTTGAGCCAGTACTCTTTCTCCACCTTCTTGACATGTTCAACACATGCATGCCAGCGTGCAATGTCAATGTCACAGGTAGCAGTGTTGACAATGTGCTTGACATCATTCAACTTGAATGATTGACTTTAACATGCATTTCATGCCAAACTATAGTTACTATCTCATCTACTTACATCAGTTCAACCTTCAAGAGTACACCCTGATGGTTCAAATTAATTGCTTATCTGTACAACATAAACTTCATCCTGCAGTGGATGTCCCATGCATAATTTGTTGTACATTGTTTGTAATTATCTCCTCCCCAAAATATGAAACTGATAAAGCTGAAACTGGAAGTATGAATTCAATAAGTATAAGTTTCAATGAGACTGTTTTTGCAAAATGGGGTGTCATCACTTCAGTCATGTGAAGGTTCACCTTCACTGGTTCACAGCATCAATTTTCATTCTCAGTTCATACAAGTATCATTTAGATAAACACGCAAACTTCCTTATAACACGCAAACCTCAAAGAAACTTGCCACCAGATACTTGTGCTAATAGAGCAGTGGCTTTTGGTGTAAAAAATTGAAACATGTCTACTGGAGGTAGCAAGATGTATTTGGTACCGTTGGAAAGCTTGGAATCTCAAGTTTTCCAAAACCAATGTTGCCAGACTTGAAACTGTCAGGCAATATGTCATTTTGGTGCATTTCCATGGTAACCATGCTATTTTTCAGAGAACATGACAGCTATATATAAAATATTATATATTCACTGTGAATAGTGATTTTATCATTTTTGAGAATGCATGTGCTGATCCAAGCACTGCTCCTTCGAACCATGTAAAGCAATAACGTCAAGATCAAAGGTCAAGGTCACAGTAATCCTAATTGTTGCTATTCTTGCTTGAAAATTTATGTTTAACCTTGCATCTTTCTTAGTGGCTGAGTATGGAATACATAGAGCACCATGTATTTGATATCATAAGACACCTCAAAGACTCAGCTTTCTGACAAAATACATTTCAGACCAGTAATTGTTAGGACACATGAGATTCATGGCATTTCAATGGTTACCATGCATTTTTAATTGTATCATAGAATACATAATATCATGCCTTTATGTGACTAAATATTGCTTTTCAAGAATGTTTACTAGTGTTCATGACATCCTGCTTCATGGGTGCTAAATATGTGTGCATAAAACACCTTCAAGGTCAAAGGTCAAGGTCTCATTTATCAAATTTGTAGCAAATGTGGACTAAAATTGAATATTTCGTCATACATTGTTGGTATGTCAGCACAAATAAGACCAATTACATTGGTTCATAGCTCAGAGTCATTATTTACAAAATGTAATTTTCTGAATAAAATTGATATTTTATACTTATCCTGACTCATGCTATTTGCTTGTCTTCTTCTTCTTCTTGCTAACATAGTGGAACACTTGTATCTCCCAATTGAAGTTCCCTTCAATGTAAAATCACTAATTAGTACTCACCACGAGTTATCTTTCCCCTCGTAAAAGCGGGAACGAGGGCCACCTCCCACCATGTGCCTCACTCTCTCCTTTTATATGAGCCCAACACTTGAATTTACAGGGAAATCCAAAGTGTTATGTGGGGAGGACGGAAGTTTACTCATGAGTCAGGATAAGTATAAAATATCAATTTTATTCAGAAAATTACATATTTTTCCTTATCCTGACTCATGCTATTTGCTTGTAGAACTGACGAATAATGGAGGTGGGAATATATAATACTTTGGATTTGGATAATTAGTGATTTTGAACTGTAATGACTGTAATAACCCCTTATGGGAACTTCATAAAGGCACTGAATTGATGAATTCCTGCTGCTAACTTATCAGCTGCCATACATGGGTTATTACAATATAATTATTATGATAAAAGTATATACAACATTAATACAAAGCTTAAGACTAATAGACTTAAGTTGTTAATATGATAGCATAAACTCCTTAGAGAGTTTATTAGCTAATATACTTTTATGAAGTAACCAAAGTACTAAGCTTAAGATATGAATAAACTTAAGCTATATGAGTATAGTACTGTGCTTAAGATATAATTTAACTTAAGCTATATAATAGCAAAAACTCCGTAGAGTTTGTTAGCTAATACATTTTAAAATGTGACCATAATACTGAGCTTAAGATATGATGAAACTTAAGCTAAATATATATAATAGCAAAACTCCTTAGAGTTGTTAGCTAATATATTGTATGATATAACAACCATAGTACTGAGCTTAAGATAATAAAATGAACTTAAGCAAAATATATATAGCATGTAGCTATTTAGTACTGTTATAAGATAAGTATAAAATCTGTAAGATTGACTTATCTTCTCCGAGGAACTGTCAACTGTTGAGCGAGGACCATGGGACCGAAATGGTGGATACCTGAGATGTCCTCGGTGGTGATATCTCTCAGATAGTGGTTGGCAAACACCATATCAGATCTCCAGAAACAACCCTCCATTATGGTATTCAAAGAGCAGTTGCCGTGTAGAGCAAGTGTAGATGCTAGCGCTCTAATTTCATGAGGATTAGATGCTCTTGGAGGGTCGAGTCCTGCAGCCTTGTAGGCACGTAGTATGACAGTTCTGATCCAAATGGAGATAGTAGTATGTGAGACTTCCGTCTGCGTAGCTGTAGATAGAGGGATAAATAATCTCTTGAATTTTGCTCTCCTCTGTTTGGATCGGTGGAGATATATTTTCAGTGCTCTTACTGGGCATAGTGATAGATCCATCGTATCATGAGGTCCAAGTATAGATGAGAGAGCTGGGACGTGGAATAATCTGTCTGGTTGACCTGGCAATTGGTTCTTAGCTATAAAATCCCAGCAGCGTAGTCCCAGATGAACGATGTTATGAATATCATCAAAGCTGTTCTCTCAGAATCCAATGCGTGAATCTCTGACATCCTGGCAGCCGTAGCTAGAGAGATAACAGGAACAATGTTTTCTGAGTCAGTGATTCAAACGATGTAGATTCTAACGGTTCATAAGCCTCACTTGTGAGGTGTTGGAGCACTATATTTAGATCCCAAGCTGGAGCTGAAACTTCCGCTTTTGATCCTCCAATCGGAATGCTCGTAGCAAAGCGAGTAACTCTGGGGTTTTGGTTAGCTTGACGCCCGTTCTCATAGTTATGACAGAGCTTATTGCTGCAAGATAAGTGGACAAAGTTGAGCCTTTTAGATTCTTAGTCTGACGTAGATAACATAAGTAGTCCGCCACTTGAGGATGAGTAGCATATCTGGCTGTAAATCCTTTCTTTGCAGCATAATTGACAAAACTGTGCCATTTGTCATCGTATAAGTTGCGAGTTGAGTTACGCAGGGCAAGCGTGACTGCTTTTGCCGCTCTGGCTGAATAACCTCTCTTATTCAGACATGCCTTGATACAATCCATACGTGAAGTTGGAATACTTCTGGTTTTCCGTGCGCTTGTTTGGTGTGCGGATGTATCAACAGATTCGAGCACTCTGGAAGTTGTAGAATTGGTTGTCCGATTTCTTGAATAAGAGTTGAAACCACGCTCGCTGGCCAGTAGGGCGACCAAAATCAGATGGAGGCTCTGGCGCTTGACTGATTTTCCGTAAGACTTGTGGGATTAACGCTGGTGGCAGGAAAGCGCACACGCTGAGTCCCTCCCACGATATGCTTAGTGCGCCCGCTGCCCATGCTAGTGGGTCTGGAACTGGCGATACTTAATGTTGTCAGTTGTTTGTTGAATCGAGTGGCTTAATAGGTCTACTAGTGGAGATCCTATTTCCTTTGATTATTTGAGTGAATATCTCTGTGTGGAGCATCCATTCTGTCGGTGAAGGTAGGTGTGGCCGAGAGAGAGCATCTGCTAATACATTCTTTGCTCCTGGAATGTGGCAAGCTCTGACATGTATGTTTAGATTGTCGATTAAATCAATAATCGGAAACATAGAGA